TTTACATGAATTACACAAGCATTTTATCTACGAGTACTCTTCGATCTTTGTATACTTTGTAAACCAAAGATTATGAAAATAAAATTAGATGCAACAACAGAGGAAATATTTTTATTAAATAAATACGAAGTCGATAAGCATTTGTAGCTCAATATAATTAGAAATGACGTCGTTTTATAATACCCATATATATATCTTTCATAAAAGAGGTTTTCTTTTGTTGTTTTATTTCACTTAAGTTATTTGTTGATGCGAACTATTAGTTTACTTTAAACAGTTTCGATAAAACAATACGATACATAGGTTGTATCAGTAAAAAGAAGTTTATCATATGAAGTCATATTATTCATTATTAGTATCGTTTAACGCTTCGTTTGTTCGAATTTACTATTACTTCATCACTAACATAGAAAAATGTACTGTTGAACATTAATTCTATAATAAATTGATCAGCTTGCATTGACTAATATTTACTATTTCATTTTATTATTATTTTCATTCATCGAGTGATGCCTCGTAACACTTTGAAAACCAAAACTTTTATTTCTTCTGATTATTCTCGCAATGATACTTATTCATTTTAGTTATCAAGAATTTTTATGAATGGAATTCAACTGTTTTTTTTTATTTGTTCAACATTTTAAGAATTTTCCATAGATATTTCATTGTTCGTATTGTTCCTTTGAATCACTTAGCTAAAGTATAATTAATTAAAGTATTAAGTGCATCGTAAAAAAGACCATATAGATTTCGACATCATGAAAAGACCAAGAAGGAGAAATCTTCTTATTTAGTTTGATTATTATGTTATTAATTTACAAGAACAACGCAACTTATCACGTAAATGACGACTAATGATGCAAGTTGTAGAATTAATTACATCATATAATTAAGCAAATATTTAAAAGCAACTTTTAAATTGCATATTATGTTTAACTTGTAATTCTAATTAAGTTATTGTTTAATACGAAATTGTTTGAAGGTATTAACTATGAAGTCATAAAATTTTAATTTAGTAGTCGTTATTGTATTATATTGTAAATGCTTTTAAAAGTGTAAATTGTTCAGATACAACATATAGATAAATAGTAGATAATAAATTTTAGAAAAAAAGGATATCATGAAATAGTTCATATAGAAAATAAATAATGATAACATTTGGTTACGTTTAGTTCCCTTAGCCAGAAAATTGCTAAATGATAAATTTTACAAAGAAAATTCAAATGTTTAGGAAAGCGAATTGCTCACTTTTTATAAGTATGATATTAAAATATTCTTTAACCATCATTTAAGTCTCAGAAATAGATCGAAATTTTTTCATTTTAATGTAAAAAAAGTTGAAATATTAAAACCTTTTCAATTTGATATATTTTAGTATAAAAAAAGTTCATATACTAAAATGTTGTTATTTTCTCGATGTTCTACATAGTATAGAATTCTGATTATGACCATCGTTTGTATTATTAAATTAAAATAAAATCCTCAGAAAACATCAAATAATAAAAATCAAAAAAGTTTTTTTTTCTTATCTATGATAAATTAATATATATATTAATTGCCATTTAAATATCGTTCTTTGCCATTAGTAAAATAACATAAAGCATGCAATATGAATATCATCTTTTCATCTGATGCTGATTGAATTAGTTTTATTTTCATTCTGCGTATAGCGTTAAGTTAAAAAATATTTCAACCGGTTGAAGTTTTTGGTGATAGTGATACAGTGCAAGTAAATTAAAAAAGAAAATATTAAGAAACGAAAAAAAATTCAAGTTCACTTATCAATCAAGATATATAAATAAGATTTACATACATACACAATATATCTAGATCAAATAGATGTTTTTTCTTAAATGAATATAAAGTTGAAAAAATAAGTATGTATAAGTATATCAATAACCTTTATTAAGAGCAAAAAGCTATGCGATGAAGGAACTGATGTTCTTATGCTGAAATAGTATTATATGATAATGCTTTTCAATACAAAGGAGTAAAAGTATTTAAAGTTAGTCGCGAATTGAAACGTGTGATTAACCCATCAAGTTATATCAATTGAATATTTTCTTTGTATGTTCCTCTTTAAATGGCTATATTTTCGTTCTTAGATTATGAATGCATCTCAAATAGGCTTCTGGGTCATATTGCTATCTTAATAAGATTTGATAATCAATGAATCAATATAATTTCTGTAAACAATTATGAATTGTTCGAAGCAGAACAAAATGATATCATATAAGAAAAAAAATTTCCATTGATCATAATGAATACGTGATAATCCATTATTTGTTTGATTACATAATAGTTTCAGAAATAGTTAAAGTAAACATCGATTTAAATCTTATCTTATTATAAAAAGAATTTAATCACGTACTGTCGTTGTCCTTCAACGGACCTGCATAAAATTGAATAATTAATCAACAGCCACTGAGAGATATATATATACATGTGTATGAACCTTGAGAGGATAGACAGAAATAACAAATATATTCGAGGAGAACGCTTTTAAAAAAGAAAGGAGAAGAAGATAAAATGGTTCCATGACAAAACAAAATGGTATTCTGAATATTGTAATATTCATTTCAACTACAATTTTTTAATATAATATTAACTTTGCAGTGAGGTAGAATAAATTATAAATTACAGTTAGTTCATATGTAAGTCTCTTTTTTAGAAATATTTTTTCGCTATCAGCTAATAATTAGTTATTTTTTTTTTGTGTACTCAAAAAAGTGAGTACACTTCTAGAATCGGTCAGTGTGGCCGTCCGTCCGGCCGTATGCACGATAACGTTTGAAAGAATAGTCCGATTGAGCTGAAATTTTGTGCACAGTTTAATCTTATCTAGATCTCGGTCGAGTTCGAAGATGAGCCTAATTGGCTGGGCCATTCCCGAGTTATTGCAAAAATACTGATATTTCCCTATGACTTTTTTTTGAGTACACATAACATTCGGATGCAAATCCGAGGTTTCTGCATTTATCTATTAATAGGACATTTACATTAGTAAGTATATATTGTGTATTAATACTTGTTAATTTACACGATCACCGCTTGGTGAAACTATGATTGCCGCTTGGCAAAGCACACGATCACCGTTTGGTGGGACTATGATTGCCGCTTGGCAAACAAATACGATCGCCGTTTGGCGAAGTCACTGTTGAGTATTTAATAACAGTCAGACAAAAAAGAAAAGAAAAGGGAGGTATTCCAAAATAATAACAAGAAAGTCGAAATGTAGAAATCAAAAGGTCGTCTTACTATGTATGTCAGCCTTAATTATTTGTTCTACTAAAAGCATGTGATGCTTTGCTCAAAAATAAAAAAAGAGTTTATAAAGAAAAGTTAGTAGCTGTGAAAAATTTTCAATTCTTCGGATACCAGCGAGAAGTTCTAAGTTGGATATTTTTTTAAGTAAGATTTCAAGAATACAAACAAATAATACATTAAGGCATGAAGAAAATATTTTTGAGAATAAAAGCTAGTTTGCATTTTCGTTTTAAAGCTAACCAATTAATTGAATATATGATAAAAATTGAATAGAGTTCTTTCTATGAGCAAACAGAAAACGAGAAAGATAAATTGAGTAGATAAAAAGAGTTCTATTTTGTGAAATAAAAGTTTATTCAGTTCCATATTTTATTTTCTGTATTAGCAGTAAATTGAGACATATATCATACGTCATGAGTTCTCATTTATGTGAAGGTTAGCTTCCTATACATGTTTCAAATGTGATTTATTGAATCATGTATATTTTAGTACAGGTCAGTTCTTGTAATTAAATTGTGTTTACTTCACTTCAAGTAGATTATGAAATATCGACGAGTTCTATACACAAACAAGTTTACTTCCGAACTGAAGTCACAATTGCGTATTGTGTCTTTCCATAAGCCACGATCATCCAAGAGTAAAGTATATTATGTAGAATTTTTATGCAATGCCGATATGGAATATGCCGATCAAGCTTGCAAACAACTACGTAATATTACATTGAAACCCATTCAGCCTTGTTCTTCTGTAGTCCAGCATCAACACCGAATTGGTGTGAGGAGTCATCAGGAGAAACATGCATCATCATGTTCACCGATATCTTTTCCATCACTGCCTCCTACATTCACTTTTCTTACTGATTCTTCTTCTTCAACAATCGCATTTCAACAAGACTGTTTGAAACGGACAGATGAAACGTTAGAAGAACGAGCAACGCGTATACTTGCTCCAATAATAAAAAATCAACAAACTGTTGCACCAAGATCCACTCACCAATTATCAAACTTAGTAAGTGCTATTACTTGCATGAATGTCATTAGCCTGATGCTTTTCTAAATCCAAGGATAGAAAACAACTTATAGACAGTATTCAATCTTGTCTAAACACCATGCATATGGCGCTCATGGCGGCCGATGAACTTTGTCAATTTTACAGTAAGCTTTTAGTACATAAATCGAAGGAAGTAATAAACGATTATCACTCAAACTAGGACGCGGACTCGACTGTCGCGCGAAATTGAACTATCTTATTAAAGCACATTCAGCAGCGTTTTACTTGAAAGTATCAACATCTGTTCAAATTAAAGATGCTTTAAAAGCTCGCCTAAAATTATCACAATCAGAAGTGGCTGATATTATCAATGCTATCAAAATGGATATTCGTCATGAACAATGCTTCGTAGCAGAATCAGCATCTACTACACATATTTTGACGAAGCTTGACAATACTGCATCTATCGTAATATCATCAAAACTAGCACATCAGCTCACAAAACTCTCAGATTATTAAATCCTCAGATGCTTTTTTTTCTAGTTTATTCATGCTTATTTAATCATTATGATGAAGTATATCACCTATATACGAACTAAAAGCGAAATTTATTGGATAGAAAAATAATTGATCTTTTGTTTTATGTGTTTTAATTCATTTTTAACTGATAAAGTTTTGTCAATAATCTTATGGTTATTTGTCTCAGTTACTTTTAGATTATTTATTTGCTTTAACACATCTCACCGAGCAGATTTATTCAAACATAAATGAACAAAAGAACATCCAATGTACAATATTGGGATCGAGAAAGATACACAAGAGAATTTTAACATACTCATTTAAAAAGACACACTATGATCTGAAAAGGAGCTTGTTTCGACATTTTAAAATACATACGTGTATGCTGATGTTGTTAGAAAAATAGAGAATTCTATATAATTTTGTTGCTAATGTATATCCTATCTTCATTATAATTGTATAATAAAATACAAGATCTAAAATTTTAGTTATATATTTAGTATATCTTCAGATTGCTTATACTTAGTTATAATATCTTATACATAAGCGATTAAAATTATCAATTAAGCTTGTTAACATGTCCAACGTATCGAGTAATAGTAGTAAAAGTATAATTTTGTTTTTGAAAACAAATATTTTTTCTCATGATAGAAAATATAATGAATATGTCTTCCGAACAGGTCAATTCAAACGATAACCTTGCAGTGAGAAAGCTCATTTCTTTATAATTTTTTTCAAAGATATTATTATAGGTACCAAATTCATCAAATCGCATGGGAAAACGATCTATTACTGATGATATCAATATAGAAAATAAAAAAATTAAAGTGGAAACTCCTGAGCTTGCACCAAATATGTCAGTGTCTGCAGCTACTAATATTGCTCCAAAATTTGTAAACGCAAGTACAATGGCTCAAGCAATTCCAGAAATCACGGATGAAGAGCTTTTGGAATTCACCCTTGAATTTGAACGTAAACATGGCATCTAACGATTTTACCAACCATGGAAAAGCGATAAACAATATATGCCCTTTTTTTATATGCATGCAAACTCATTTAGTCTCGTCACTTTTTTCTGAGTAGAATACATTATAATATTCACGCTTTATAGACTATTCTAATGTCATCGTTTAATTGTTTTTTATCTACTGTTTTAGATAAAACTATCGACGTGATTTTTAATATTAAAGTGAAATATATCACATCTTGTCCAACTGTTGAAATATTGGTGTAAAAGTAAGGAAAAAAAATAAAATCAACATGTTCTTGATTTTTTGATTTGACTCATTGTATGACTACATCAGATAAATAGATAGCTATCTTTGTACTTACTCATCGATGCGTTGATGGAAATAAAAACAATTACTATTTCTTTGCGTTAACATGTGAAGAAAACATGTTAAGTATCATGACTGACTGATTCAATTAATAAGATACGAAAAAGATATAGCAGGGCCTTCTGTTACGATGAATTCAATCATGTGATTCATTCGAAATTTTTTAAATATAATTTGAATGCATATATAATCATTTATTCGTAAATCCGTTTGTTGAACATATTTTCATCAAGCTCATTACTTTACTTTTATTAAAAAAAAATACAGAATGATAAAATAGATGAATGCTTTATATTGATCTGCGAGACACTCATCTCTTCTTCTGTTCGTTTGCTATTCAAACAAACGTCAGACAATATCACCGTCGGAATCGCTCATTGTTTTTCTCTTCCTGCCGTTGTATTATATATAGAAAAAAAAAAATCATCGAAAGCGTAGGTTAACATCAACGGACAAGGTTAATTACTTGCCTAGGTACATTCGTTCAATCAAGAAAACGCTTTGATGAAAATATAAACGAATTATCGCTATAAAAATGTTGTTTCATACTAAATCAACTTTTAGTACAATCACAAATTTGAAATAAACAATACTATGTTAAAATGAATTATGAAGACAATAAATCTTCCCGTTATTACTATTCATCTTCATCGCTCATACATATTTGAAAATATCTTTTTTTTAGAATTTAAGAAACGATTAAATTAAATTAATCATGGAAAATTTTAATGCTTATTACGATCCCCTTTCAAATACTCTTTTACCGCCTGAATTTGCTGAATTACCATTGGATATGTATCTAGATGATGATGATGATGAATTTCGAGCTGGTTACCCGTTTTCGGATGTTACAGAAACAGAAATCGACGGTTAGCTACTGTTGATTGACAGCTACCACTAATCGATTTTGTTTTCTAGAGAGCAGGAAATCGTCCGATTGCTCATTAGCAGCTGATGATGATACGCTTCAATCCGATAGTTTGAGCAACGGTATACGTTCTGAACTTGTTTTCCGAATATTACGATTTTATTTATTCTGTTAGCTCTACAAGATACTTCTATTGTATCAACGAAAAAAGATGGTCAGTTAGAATCATTATCATCTGATCAACAGGTGAGAATCGAATAATAATATAACATACTAATCGTGGTTATGTTACACTAGGGAGACAAAGCATTTGTTGCGACAAAATCCTGTCGTATAAATGCGTGTGAAGTGAGTCTCAAAAATGGTACGACTGAACAGACCGGTTATAATAAATTGGAACTTAACGATGTTTTACGTGATGTCATAGATCGGACTGAGAAAACTAATAAGGAAAGTTGTACTTGCTCATATCGATCCAAAACACATCATTAGATCGTTTTCAATTAGATCTAAAATTATATATTTCAAATCATATACAAGTATATTATTGCTTAACGATAAGAATTCTAATCATTTTTTATTTTATAGTTTTATGCATGCTTATGTTAGAGTTGATTTTCTTATCATTTAACATTGCTCTTTTCTCATTATTCGTAAACTAGAAACTAATCATACTTATAATATTCATGAACATTATTTTTACTCTTATATACTCTTCATCATATAATATTTTGAATTTTTGCTTGTTGTTTCTTCCTTGAAAACTTTTGGAACACATTCTCCAAGATCATAGAATAAAAAGACGAAAACATATCGTTTCCATCGGTTATTCTTAAGCTTTTGAATCATGCTACTATTGAGTTTCACATACATATTGATCGAAAAAATAACGATCGATCGTTATGACTCAATACGTTGAGTATGTCATTGACTACAATATTTTCTCTTGAATATAGAACATGCAAATATTCAATCAGTACTATCAATAATATATTCTTTAAAGAAAAAATTAAACATAACTTTCTTCTATCACTCATTGTTTTTATTGAATATTATTTATAAATATTTAAATATCGTCTTTGTGAAATGGAAACAATAATCACGTTATTGTTTTTATGAAATCTTCTATTTCATGTTACTTGTACTGCACATAGACAAAGATCAAACGTGTCTATAAATATAAATAGTCGTCTTATTCATTGGTTTCTTTAAAGTTCTTATAAGCTGCATGAATTCATTTACTATTGCAGTACAAATGATCATTGTCATAACAGTTCTTATCATACTTCAATAACGCCCATGAGTCATCAAAAATAAGAAAATATTTTTTCTCATGTTACATATCTAGCTAATCTAGAGTGGTGGGATAGAATCAATATAGAATTATGAGTTAGAAGTACCTATAACAATCAGTCAAACATATGTTCTTTATTGAAAAAATTCGAAAAATCATGTGTTCCATGCATAAGCGTGTACGATAATATCCTTGATTAACATTTGGTAATACGAAGTAAAAGAAATCGAAGTATAATTTTTTGAAGAATAAATATTCTTGTGTATATGAGAGATGAAGTTGTGATAATAACGATAACAATTGCAAAATATAATCCAATAGTATACATATATATGAAGGCTTATAGAAATATTCTTATCATATTATCTTTTGTAATTATATAATTGACTCTAATAAAAAACAAATCGAGTAAAACAATACGATAATATTGTATATTAATTTTATACTTATATAGTTCATTTATGAAATCATAAATGAAAAATAAAAAAAACATAAAAATGAGAGTTACTGCTTGTTACATGATGAAAGTAGATAGGAATACAAAATAGTCGAAATTAGAATATATAAAATAAAAATAAATGCGAAACATAATTGAATGATAAAAAATAGTTTAAAAACAACAAATAGTGTTGATTAATTTAGCTTGATTGACTTATCTAATTTTATATGTTTTTCTATCAAATATGTTAGAAAATGGCAATTATAGTAGGATACATTCTTCGTATAGAGGTTTATTATATCTGCAAATTAAATAAGAGAAGTAGAACCAAATGATATAAGAAGAGGAATAGTAGCCTTCATATAGTAAAACAAAAAGATGTACATATAAATAGGCATAAATGTAATATTTGATTAGAAATTGGAAAAATACTAATGTATTTTATATCGATAAATGAGATGTAATAATCACATAGTTCGAGATTGATGTTAGCATAAACTTCTATTAACGTTTAAGATTTATTCACTGTCCATGAGTGTTTCATATATTATTTTTCTCTGTGTATCTTTAATCAACTACATTATTTATTTCAATATTTATATTTTTATCAGAGCTACTGATCGTTATTTAACTTTTAAATAGTATATATATATATATATATATATATATACATATATTATTATTTCTTTTTTATTATTAATCTTTCTTTCATTATGCCAATTTTCTACTCTTTGTTCATTTGTGTAGGCAGTACTGTTCAATAATTCAATGGTACGATCATTGAAACACTTAGCTATAATTATTATTCGTATTTAGATATTTAATTGTTATTTTCAATAAAATATGTAATAATTCCAAATATATAAGAAAAAAAAGCTATCGTACATAAAATTTCATATGATCATGCAAGTAGACAACGAATTAAAAAAGAATAAATGCAAGCAAGATAAATTCTATAGTTTACAAAATATGATAGCATAAAAAAGTCTACTAATAACGATTTTTTCAATTTTGTTTCAATTTTCTCTCATCAATCCAAATCGATGATACTTATCCACTCCTTATCATTATCCATATAATCCCATTCACTATTAACAATATCAACATTAATCCATTCACTATTAACCATATCAACATTAACCCATTCTATATCCATCTCATCAGAAATACTATCTAACTCGTCTGAATCATAGATACCGATGGTATCATAGTTCCAGAAGGTTACATCTTCATCATCATTGTCCTCATTTTCTACAGGTGGTATTCCTGGTCCATACTGAAGATGGATAAATAATTCATATGTTTAATTATACATAATGCCACAGATCTTATGATAGAATGCTTCCTTCAGTTCGAATGCTGACAATCAGCTGCATGTATTCGCATACTGGTAGCCATACATTCGGGAACAACGGCGGCCAATAGATATGAAATTGACCCGGTTGATTTCCTTCCATATCTAATAGAAAAGAATACGTAGTTGATACTCTTCTAGTTCGAAAGAAGTAGTCTTACAATGTGCTACCGTACGGGTAGTTCTATAAATGGGTTCGCCTCCTAAGTACCCAATGTGTACAAGCGGATCAAAACTACCATGTCCATCGTCGACGTGAACTACTGTTACAGGTTCTACTGTAATAAGATTATCATCTACCACAGAAGAGTATTGTAACATATTATTGTTTATTATTTCATTCAAATAATTTAGTTCCATAACTGTGATACTTTGAAACGAATAAGCTTAAGAAATGTACATGAACCTAGATCACTCATATATATACTATGCCACTGTTATCAAGAACTGTCTTATCACTTTCAAACGAACGTTAATAAACATTTTCAAGATATATACAAATCCTATAACGAACAGCACAATGAATGAATATCATGCACCGGACTTATCTTTAAGAATAATGATCATAAATTACATCATATACACTCACACATCTCTTCTCTTTCTGCTCTGGACATATATCTTTCCTGTTTCATCACATATGTTTTCTGTTCTTTTCCCATATATGATATAAATGGCATTAATCGATATTTCAATCAATGAGTGTTAAATTTTATTGTTCTCTTCTTGTTCACACATCTCTTCTCTTTCTGAACTATACATATACCCTTCCTGTTTCATCACATATGTTCTCTGTTATTTTCATATATGTGATACAAGTTGCATCAATTGATATTTCAATCAATGAATGTTAAATTTTAGAATGCAAGTTATTTTAAATGAAAGAAAAACTTTCTATTACGATTAATGAATTATTTATTGTTTTTATTAATATAATGTACTTATATTGGATTATCAATCATAAACTACTACATGCAAACAAAAACAAAATATAAAAAAATGCAAACAAAAGCACAAAGCAAAAAGCACAAAAGGCAAAAAAACAAAGCACTAAAATCAAAAAACAAAGAAGCACCAAGACACCAAAATTATCTAAACAAGAATTTTAATGAACAAAATACAATTCACTATGTAAAAAAAATATGAGAAAAACAATATACTTACATGTATATATATACATTCACATTTCAAACATACAGCCACACTTACCGCACTCGGTTAAGCTGACAATGGCTGTATGTTGATGGCTACTGGGAGACGTATTCCCCGAGCTGCCACTATTGGAAGCCATTTCACGTTCATCAAAATCCTGAATGGTTCCAGGACTTTGATGATAGTTGTGTCTCACAATAGTGAGCAGTGGGGAAGCGAACTAAAAATTCAGAATATTATATAAATATTATTATTATACAATTTGTGTTTGACATAAAATAAATACCTCCCGCCGAATTCTGATGTCGGCTTGCATCAAGCCGCATTCGGCTACTAAAACATCGGGGAACAGTGCTGGCTCATGTAGCTCACAAGAGCCGGACTGTTCCCCCTCTAAGGCTATAAGAAACAATATCTATGTAAAATTAAAATAGAAGCAAAATTTACATACACTTAGCGACTGCCATTGTGGTGCGGTATACCGGTTCTCCATTTTTGTAGCTCACCAGGACCATGGGACCAATAATCCCATGTCTTGTATGGGCGTTCCCCATTAGTTTTGGAGAAACCGGTATTAAGTGATCGGTCTGCGTGGCCATATCACGTCTGGACCAGCATGGCCAGACCGTACCTATTGTGTAGTAAGTAAGTTTTGGCAAATATTCATAATATTACTCACCGGTTTCCCCCCGTACCAGAGTGGCAGAATTACAGTTTCCTGTCGATACAGCACAGGCCTGCATCTCACCATAGAGAGTATGGCCCCATATGCCTGTATCGACAGTTTCTATACTGCTACCTGGTGAACCGGGTTCACCAACCTCGCTGGCGTCATCTAAATTCAATTTCATACATATTCAACAAGTGATCCTTAAAAATCGATCTTACTTTCTTCTATTTCAATATCTGATATACATGAAATCGAGTCCATCAAATTTTTTATTAATAACGTTGCTTCAGAGAGAGAGAGAGAAAAGGCGAGTAGCTTTCGTTCAATACTGGAATGAGAGAATGAATTTTTTTCGCTTCAGAGTTCCATATATATATATAT